AGTCCAAAACTGCAGATTAAGTATTACAAAATGTGGGTAGTTTAAAGGAAAAATATCAGAAATCATGTTTACTAGCTCAATACTGTTATAATAACATCATAGTGTGAAATCAAAGTCGTTTAATCGTACCAAAAATAATGTAATACTATTGTTTTTTTTTTATTATTTCAACCGTCAACTGACCACTGCTGGGCATAAGCCTTCCCCATAAGGAGAGTTTTGCCAGTAGTTGTCATAATTGGCTGGCGGGTTAGCAACCGCATTTAAGCTTTTAGAGATGTTTTAAGAGGGACGCTGCTGCCCATCCCTAGCTCTCCCTTAGTCGCCTCTTACGACGCCCACAGGAAAGAGAGGGGTGACCTAATCCACGCCGGGATTACACGGCAAAGTATATCTATTTATGTAAATTTTGTTATTATTATTATTTAAAAAGAATAGAAACTAATTGAAAAACTATCGGTAAATGCATTCCAGAAACAAAAGAATGCTCTTAATGTGAATGTAAAATACTTTAAACTTGTTTTTAACTGAACAAAAATGAAGAAAAATAAGGAAAGAATAAAGATTTGCTCGCTTGGTTTAACATCATCTTGAAGAAAGTGCAGAACGCTGTTTCCAGTCGTATGGACGAGCGTAAACTAAAATCACAATTTATCTATGGGTACCTATACCATATTCTTACTTATAGTATAAACTAGTTATATCTTGTGGATTTGACCGTGTAAATCAATGTATAAAGTATCCTATAAGCTAAGTTAGGATATAATAAGTTAGGTATATACCCTTGTACCAAGTTTTATTTAAATCCGTTTAATTAATTTAGCATTTTGCTAGGGCGGCCCCTACCGACATCTCCAAGAATAAATAGAGATGTCGGTAAGGGTCTCCCTAGAAGGACGTATGCCGACCAAATAGGCGACGTGCTGAAGAAGGGCCAATTTAAAAGTACCCGTAACCGGCGAGCGTGTATGTAAAGATTAATGAATGTGGAGGAAGCGAAAGAGGTTTGTTTGAATCGAAGCATTTGGCGTTCCATTGTGTTTGCCTACCGTAATGGGAGACAAGCGCGACAGATGTATGTGTATGTATGAATGTTATTTTGCGTGAAAGAGTAACAAATAAACATCTTTGCAAATTTTTGCATTTACCATACTATAATGGGATTATAACTTTTTAATAGAGTGTCAAATCTCAACAAATTTTTATTTGTATTTTCGTTTAATTTAAACTACTTTCATACTATTTACCTGAAGTTAGGCTACACGGACGCGTACAACAACTTTATGTTATGATAGCAATACTTTTTACATCATTTAATCTCTACCCACAATTGAAATGATAATTAAAAGTGCCATAGCCCGGGGGCTCGTGTAAAAATTGTGCCGTCATTAAAATTATTGGTAACGAGCAATGCGTAGATATAACAGCAAATTAAAACACAACCGCATTGGATTCCTTCTGTGGTTTCCTCATTATTTTGAATTTAATTACTTTAGGCGGTTATTTAACGTAATTGTATTTTGCTTTATATACATAAACAAACAATTATTTTTTTTGGATTCATTTCACCAGGTTGGCTGTTGCAGGTACAGCCTGGTGAAATAGGATATTACGTCTCGGGAGACCTGCGACTGTGGAGCGCTGTCACCGACCATGTCTCACCTCCTGACCTGTCTTTTGTGTTCTGCATCCTGAACGAAGTAGGACCTGAATAAGGTATACAATTGCGCTGTGGAAGTTGCTAAGTTTTAGTCCAAATATATTTAGGTTGCCTACTGACTAAAGAAGAAGAAGAAGAATTATATTTTTAATATATATTGTAAGGAATTGTGAAAAATCTCTGGAAAGAGTATATACTAATAGTACATAGTTTTAATAAACGAAAATAGTACGGTAACCCCGCCTGCGCTAACGGGATACGCTGGCGGAGCACCAGTGAAGGGTGATAAATGAGAATGAAAACAGGCCAGTTAGCCTATCATGATGAATTCATCAGGAATTAACTATGATAGTTTCCAGGGAGAACCGCGAAGAAGTCGACCTGGTTGGGTATATTGCTAGCAATGGGATTCTCAGTCTTCATTACTAACAATCCCTTTCCCCCCAAATAGTATGTAGTATGGCTGTTTATGTATATAAGCCACAATTATTACTTCCCATACGATGATCTTATATTTGTTAATAAAATTTTAAAAAATATTTAAATAAAATCCGGTATGTACCTTAGTAAGTTATGCCACACAATGTATTCATCATCATCATCATCATCATCATATCAGCCATTAATTGTCCACTGCTGAATATAGACCTCTCTCATGAGGGGCGTTTTGTCAGTAGTTGCCACACTTGACACGCCGCAATCGCAGTTAGCTTTTGGTGATGTTTTAAAAGAGATGCTGCTGTCCAACCCTCGACTATTAATTTCTCTTAGTCGCCTCTTACGGCACCAATGATAAAGGAAGGGATGGCCACCGCAGAGAACAAGATGCCTATCCTTTTCTATGGGGGAAAGGGATTGTTAGTAATGGAGACTGAGAATCCTATTGCCAGCAATATACCCAACCAGGTCGACCTCCTCGCGGTTCTCCCTGGAAACTATCATGGTTAATTCCTGATGAATTTATCATGATGTGCTTACTGACCTGTTTTCATTGTCATCTACCTCCCTTCATTGGTGCTCCGCCAGCGTATCCCGTTAGCGTAGGCGGGGTTTCCATACCATTTTCACCCATCAAAAAAAAAATCCTTTTCTATGCTAGGACCACATGGCAAACACAACGTATTGTTGCTAACAAATTAATGAGAAATTTTTTGGTAATTCATACTTTTTGTAACTAAAATAGACGCAAAAATCACACATGATTGCGTGGGCAATTTTGAACGGATTTTCATAATTCTATTTAAAATCTCAAATTTGACAATTAATATAAACAATATTTAATATAAACTTTTTATTGCGTACAAAAATGAGTATTATGCAGAATGTGCATTTACAAAAGGCGGTCTTATCGCTAAAAGCAATCTTTTACAGACAACCTGGCATACATAGTAGGTAAGTACAAGGAGAAAAGTAGATGGCGCAAGTCAGACACGGTAAATACAAAAAAAAAATTAGTTCTTTATAGACTTACGATCTAAAGTTTGGTGTAACAACAAAAGACTTTGAGATTCTTCTTAGTTTATCCCAGATAAACTTACTAGCTCTATATTTTATGATTTTAACGATTTCGTTGATAGAATCGTGTTTAGTAGAATTTGTGTGAGAGATGCATTCAAAATTATTTTAGAATTCATGAAAACGTCACGTCAACCTAAACAAAAGTCATTAAAGAAGTAGGTGCAAGGGCACAATCTCGATTTCAATAAAAGAGAAATGTTTAAAAAGCAGTTTAATGTTTCTAATAAACAAAACAATAAAATTGTCGAAAAAGGCGTACAAAGTTGGCGACACCAGTCATCAGTCATGCTGTAAGGCGCGATCTGTGCAAAAAGTTTTCCCATTATTTTGGGCCCAGAATTCATTTTTGTCGTTCATTTTGTGGAAAAGTGAAATATTATGTTTTGTTTGTATTTCAACTATGTAGGCGTAAATTGTAATTTATACTTTGACTGCTTCTTTTTTTTTCTTTGTTTCACTTGTTCAGAGTTGGGTGACGTTGTTTTTGGAGATTTGGCGTAAGCCGTAACGCGTCTCCGCTACGGCGTGTATTTTTTTTTTATTTCAATAAATTGAGAATTACATTTTTATGTTTTCTAATACATATAACTGAAATATTGTTAAAAAGGAATCAGATTCTTGTGTTTATTATAGCTTTTTAAGAAATAGTATTTTAATTTAATAACTAACTTATGTGTTATTAGATCGGAAAAGCTCGACTACTTTCGGAATGAATTCGTGATCTTTAGTCATGAGTGATTGTGATGCGAGCACGAGCCTGACTGCGTGTTTTGGCCCACTGAGCTGTAGACGCTTGCAGCATTTTCACAGCAAGAAACACGGCATTCAGAACTCTTCGGGTATGAACGGCTGGTCTCCGAAGTTCTTCCTCTTCATCTGTTATGTTATTGGCACTACTTGTGTTGTTAAGCTGTCGTGTACATACGCTAAGATATGATACTTCATTTCGAGTTTTTCCCGTTTTATTTATTTCAAATAAAAGAATCTCTTTCTTTATTTTCATTTCACTATATTTTGGTCACAGTATTCTCATAGCACGTTTTAACTGAACCAAATCCAGGATTTTGGCAAATAATGAACTCACTAACTACTTTGTGAAAGTAGGCGTAGAACTTGTTATATTGACCAAGTGTGAATTAAAATGGTTTTGTTGCAATAATATTGTTTAAATTCATATCAATATTTAAACCAAACAAAGCGGCTAGAAATTTAATCTCTGCAAACACAACGCACTCTAAACAGAAATAATGTGTTATTGTTTTGTATTGTAAATGCAAATATAAACAAGATGGAAGTTTTTAAATACCATATCTGATAACAGGATTTCATTTATAAATTAACTTTCAATGTCTTAAGACTCTATAAATATCAGTGATACTAGAATACTACAAAAACGATATTAATAATTTTAATAAAATTTATACTCAATAACTGTATGGAAAATGAAAACTGCAAGGTATTCTCTGCCAACATGCGGTATCATTGTATATGTCTAATGCTTGTTGGCTACTCATCATCTTATTACTCTTATTTCTTTATCTGGGGTCAGCGTAATATATTTTTCTTCTCTATTCTTCTCTATCCGCAGTCTTTTCCGCATCCATTCCCATTTTGGCCATATAATCTTTTATAAAGTCTAAATATGTATTTTTAGGTTTTCCTCTCTCTTATTATTATTTGTTATTCTTCCACTTTTACTTTTTTTTTTGTAATTTTCAATTTGCGGTATAAAATACTGATTTTTTATTTTTTTATTTTAGTGAATAATTTAATACATTACTACTAAGAAATGACAGTTTTTTTAAATTTTTTATTTTTTATTTTAGCTGTGTCTACGTATTACTTACATTAAAATCCATGGCGTTTGCTTTTTGGGACACTGGAACGACTACTCCTAAATTCGTCTCAAAAGATACGACTCCCAGGCAGAGTTTTTTTAGGTGGGAACAAGTAGATGCACCTTTTATGTCATTTTGGTTCACTCATTGGGATTGGGATATCATTGCTGATAGAAGAAAATTACACGTCTTTGCCGGAATATCCATAGGTTTGTAACTTTTATAAAATAATAGAAATTTATGTGTTTATTTTGCATACAGCAAAATCATCAACATCATCATTTCAGTCATTATCCGTCCACTGCTGGACGTGAGCAATAAAGAACGGTTCTGAACCACCTGCATCCACTGACTGTCTGCTATGCATTTCAGGTCGTCACTCCATCTAGTGGGAGGTCGTCCTATACTGCGTTAACCTGTACGGGGTCGCCACTCGAGCACCTATTATAATAAAATGAATATTTTTAATATATAGAAATCTCTATCGTCTCTATGATTTGTTTATGTGAATCGGTGAATCTATACTTATCTAACTATATAGTATAAAGAGGGTTGAGATCTGTGTTAGTTTTAAATTATCTACCAGTTTATTTTATACAAGTTAGAATGGCAAACAAGCTGACAACCCACCTGATGGAAAGTGGTAACCGTCGCCTATAGACATGAGCAGTAAAATGGACATAACAGAGTATACTGTTTCCCCATGCGTTGCCATTCCTGAGGACTCAGGTGTTATTCCTCTGTACCCTGTAAATTCACGTCATATCCTACCCTCCAAACCGAAATCAAGCATGAAACACAATTGCTTTACGGTTGGAACACGAATGGAACAGAGGTACGCAACCAAATGACTTTTGTACAAAGTCTCCCTCTGGTTTAGTTTTTAATAACGTCGAATAATTTCAGATTTTATTCCGCTGGGAACTGCAATAATACTTAATAAGAGGGTTCTCATCACGTCCGCAAATTACTTGGAACCTTATCTTGACAGACAGCGGGATGTCAGGATTTGGGCGTTAGGAAGGGCTGGCAAGCACATGACCCCTTACAGATACAGGGTGTGGAGATTCCGAAGATTAATACCACGAAGTGATAACCCCGAACACTGGCACGGTCCTCGAGGAGTCCATATACCAAGACATGATGTATCAATTGTGCATAGCTTTGACCAAATATACGTCTATAATAAGTTATCAACGAGTTATCAATACGCATACAAAGCGACTCTGTGCGATAAACATTACATCATTGAGGATTTTATATGGTATGGTGGATCCGGTTTCCTCAGCTTGAAGCACATTGAAGAAAACTATAAGATTAAGTACGCAAGACAATTAAAAGACGACATAGTGGATTGTTCCAAATATTTGCCAAAATGGTGGGGTAAATTTATTTGTGTAAAAAACACATTCAGCTTTCCTGGTATCGCTAATGGCGGGGGTCTGTTCTCTGGTCCTGCCCGAGCTGGCCCAGATGTACTGATTGGTTTAGGGTGTTTTGAGATTCGTTACAATGAAGATAGGATTTTGGTGTTTACAGATCTAAGATACTATATTGACAGAATTAATATCTACGCCAATATTACTCCAGGCGAATACTATGAGTATGCGTATCCCGAGTATAGCGTAAGATATGGCTTTCTATACGATAGTTCGTCGAACGATCCATACATACCTCTTTGGCAAATTCAAAATGACTTGTTTCCTCTTGGTAGAAAATAAATAATGTATTTTAAGCTATAAATTGTTTAGACAAAGTAAACTTGAAAGTCTTAGTGGTTTGTTTATTTATTAAATTGCCCTTTAAATTTTAAAATGTATTATTATTTCATCATAAGATTGTAGAATGTTTTACTTGAAATAATCTTTTGTACTTTTACTAAATAATACTCTGCTCCAACAAATAGTAATTTGTATTTAAGAAATCTAATTAAATATTAAGTCGTTCGTATTTTTAATTATTGCTTTATAGTGAAACAATTATTGCAGTTTGAATACAATTCGTGGTTGCACTAAGTCTCGATAGTGTATTTAAATATGTGTAAACAACGATAAAGTTCAAAATTAACCACTTTGTAGGTATTGCTCAAGTGGAATATTAGAAACAGATATTTCACTGCAGTGTTTCAATTGTCATTTTTTAATGTTGATACATTTAATGTATAAATTATATGAGATCTACAAGAGATAGTTGCAGCATAATTGATTGTCTTGCTTTACCCTGGATATTTAATACAGTAAAAAAAAAAAAAAATAAATAAAAAATTGTTTATTTTCAAATCACTAGTAAATAGTAATGGGTCTCTAACAATGAATAGTGAGGTCTGATTGGATGGACAATCTATAACTTTTAATATTTGACGTTCGCATCCTATCAATATAAGTTTTTTTTTATATACCACCGAGGTGGTAAACAAGCATATGGCCGACCTGATGGTAAGTGGTTATGGTTACTATGTATTCTCCATGTTTATACTATATGCCTCTCTAGGATCTCCCTCTGGATCCTATCCATGTATTTATAGATATAAGAAAGTAATGTGTCACCTATAGTACCCTGAGTACTAAGATGTTATGCCTCTGAAGCCTGTTATTTTATTAAGAATTAACATGTTTGCTAACATCACTCCCGGTGAATATTATGCGTACGCATATTCTGAGTACAATACGTCGAACGATCTATACTCTCTTTGGCATATACAATATGACTTGTTCCCTCTTGGACAGAAGTAAATAATATCTTTTACTTAGTATTACTGCATTGCATTCAAAGCAGAGTTTGCAGTATTCAGAGTACTTTTTTTTTAAATATTTTCTAAATCTACTTAATGCTTTGTTATGTCTTTTTCGCGCTAATAAATAAGTATTATTAAGCCTTTTGTTTTATTCGAAACAAGTTAGTTTGCTTTTGTACCTTACGCACTCTACTAATAAAAAAAAAAAAACTTATAGATGATATATTATTTATAAAAATACAATTTATTCATAAAATCTATCGGTACATTATATTAGTGGTTTTATTATTCTCATTATTATAACTATCTTGATCTACTTTACTACTGGACGAAAGACAATTTGGGATAAATCCACTGAAGTAGAGTGTTTAATGTCCAAAAAAAGAAACGATTATACGTGCATAGTGTATGTATGTTTAGTAATAGAGAGTTGTGGCGACCACTAAATACATGTAGACTAATGTTTTAAAAAGTAAATTTTCTTCGTCTAAGGATGGACAACAGGGTCTCTTTTAAAACATTACAAAATGCTGAGCATAGACTTCACTCAACTGGGGATTTTTACCAATAGTTACTACAGTTAGTAGGTAGGTTTTTTTTGATGGGTGAAAATGGTATGGTAACCCCACCTGCGCTTACGTGATACGCTGGCGGAGCACCAGTGAAGGGTGATAGATGAGAATGAAAACAGGCCAGTTAGCCCATCATGATGATATCATCAGGAATTAACCATGATAGTTTCCAGCAGGAACCGTGAGGAGGTCGACCTGGTTGGGTATATTGCATGCAATGGGATTCTCAGTCTCCATAACTAACAATCCCTTTCCTCTCTAGTAGGCAGGTTGACAACCGCCAAAACATCACCAAAACCTAATTAGGTTTTGGAGGTGTTTTAGAAGACGCTACTGCCTATCCCTCGTACGTTAAGCTCTCTTAGTCGCCTCTTACGTCTCTTATGGGAAAGGAAGCAAAGGCCCATTCTATGCCGGGACCATACAGTGAAAAACGTTAAGATGCTATAAAACTCGACGTATAGAGATTTACACAAACGATGTGTCAAGATAACACGTAAATGTAGAGAATGAGCCATAACTAGTCCCCTAGCGAGTGTTTATGGGCTACTTTTTACTTGGGTCTCATAAAGACCGTTGGCATTGAAATATGGATACGGCATAATAATAATAATTAGTAATTAATAAAATTATATTTATCTGCTGCTGGTTTTCACCACCGTACAACCCGCCACAAACTAAAGTTTCATCCCAATCATCTGAACGAGTGGCGGTCTTCCACCGTGCGTTTTTCAAGGCACTTTCTTCCACGCACAACCATTCTTTAGAATCAACTTCCAGCAGCAGTATTTCCGAACCGATACGACAACATAACCTTCAAGAAAAGAGTATATTCCTTTTTAAAAGGCCGGCAGCACACCTGCAATGCCGCTGGTGTTGTAGGTGATCATGGGCGGCGTTAGTCACTTACCATCAGGTGAGCCGCATGCTCGTTTACCCCCTGTGTTGAAAAAAAAAAGAATATAGTTCATAATGGAATGGTATCAATGACAATACGTAGCTTGTACATTCAGCCAGTTTGGCATGCAATATCTATATGCATAATTTATAATATTTATACATACACTAATATTATAAAGAGGAAAGATTTGTATTTTTGTGTGTATGTTTGTAATGAATAAACTTAAAAACTACTTTATCGATTTCAAAAATTCTTTCGCCATTAGAAAGCTATATTCACCCTGAGTAACACAGGCTATATTTATTGCTAGAAAAGATTAGAGATCCTTACTAAAACTTTAGTAACGTAACTCAAGGTGTAAAAAAAATGCAATAAATGCCAAGTACTTATGGCCTTACCGTCAAGTGAGCATACTATTTTGTCATCATTTCTCGTAATGTCCTATCCAACCCATCGAATGCTTCCCAACTCCATGGTTCCATTGACCCAGCGGTAAAAATAATAAGGCACTTAACCCTCACGTCGTGACCGCTGCCAGCAAGTCACGCATGCCAATCAAGGTCACCAGTGAGGACATTTTTTGACCTTTGTGTTCTTAATGAAGGAGCCGCTGAAGGGTTATGATTATTTTCTTATTAGAACAGTTGTTCTAGTAACGGCAAGTAAATTAGAAACAGAAATAGAATTGTATTGCTACTTTTGCCGTGGATGTTTTTGGCCGGTAGGAGTCCGGCAGTACCCATAAGCCTCCCCCGGGGCTTATGGGTCTGCATTAGGCATTTCCTCACGAAAAAAAAGTGTCATATCGCATAGGGAGGTCAATTCTAGACCATATGTCTAGAATAGAGCTGGCTGGAAGAGAATACATAAATTAGTTGCTTCAACAATTAATTCATGAACGTGCGTGCATGCGTGCGCGAATGCGTGCGTGCGTGCGTGCATGCGTGTGTGTGTTATTTCAATCAGCCAGTATTATTATAGTCAACGATTAAGTTTACGTATAAATCCAATTTTGTAACTTTATAATATAATACGGATTCTTTTTATATTCACATCATCGTATCAGCCTTTAACTGTCTACTGCTGAGCATAAGCCTCCCCCTTGGGGGGTTTTACTAGTAAATGCTACGCTTGGTAAACGGATTGGCATCTGCAGTCAGGATTTAGAGATGTTTTAAAAGAGTAGCTGCTGCCCATTCCTCGCCCTCCCTTAGTCGGCTCTTACGACACCCACGGGATAGGAAGGGGTGGCCTATTCTATGCCAAGACTACAAGACTTATATTTATATACAGTTGCAAAATACCATCATAATTTATGGTTTTCTTATAATTAATCTAGTAATAATTGATGTTCCATTCTTGATATAGATCTGAGTAAATATATTAATATTCTGAACCCGCAGAACTATTATTCATAGTCTAGAATAAATAATACCTAACTATAAATTTGTTTCTAAATTGGAATTCGAAGAAGCATACAAGATATTATCTCCATTTCATATAATAGTGAAAGTTGTATCTATATCTTCCAAATTATTTCATATTCGTCTATATTTACCAGAGGGAGACTTTGTACAAAAGTCGATTGCTTGGCTACCTCTGTCCCATTCGTGTTTCAACCGTGAAGCAGCTGTGTTTGCATGGCTGTGTTTCGGTTTGAAGGGTGCGGATATGGCGTGAATTTACTGGGTACAGAGGAATAACACCTGAGTCCTCAGAAATGGCAACGCATGTGGGGTATCGTGGGCGAAACAGTATACTCTGTTATGTCCATGGTACTGCTCATGTCTATAGGCGGCGGTTGCCACTTTCCATCAGGTGGGCCGTCAGCTTGTTTGCCATTCTAAGTTGTATAAAAAAAATTGTATTACTGTATATAATATGCCTTTGCCTTTATAATAATAATGATTTATTTGCCAGAAACCTAAGAAGAAGGAATTACATAGATGGAATGATAAAATAAAACTGTGAATCATACGAACTAATTTAGTTAATTATCAATGATACAATAATAAATTTTTATTTAGCCATTTTAAAAAAAATTCAGCATCAAAATAACAACTTTATGATTTTTTTTTAATTTACATACAAATATAGCATTTTTTGGGTAAAACTAGTGACATAACCAATAAAAGGCATTGAATTATTATATATTAAAATGGGTTTTTTTATATTAACTGTTGCTACTATTAAACATATGGACATCAGTTTTTTTTATACTACAAAGGTGACAAACAAACATATAGCCCGTCTTATATATATAAATATATCAATATCCGATATTAAACGGTCATTCTAGCCTATGAACGTTTGCAACACTAGGGGTGGGGGAGAAAGGGATTGTAGCAATGGAATTTCACAGCCCCATTGCTAGCAATATACCCTATTAGGTCGGGGGGGGAATGGGATTGTTAGTTACGGAGCCAAATAGCCCCATTACTAACAATAACCCTATCAGGTCGACCTTTACGCGGTTCCCCCTGGAAACCATCGTGGTTAATTCTATTTGAAGTC